TTGATTTCGATGCCTTCAATAATGACACCACTCTTCCAGTGACCATTGAAACAAAAAATCCATATTTCCAATTTGCCATCTTCACCTCCTTCATTGAAGAATTCATCCAACTCTAGCTCTAACCAACCGTCTCCCCTCTCTATTGGGTATTAGTAATCATTTTGTACATCTTCACCTTCTGTATGCAGAAACATAGTTCGTTGTAAACCTTCAGTTCTGCTAAGTTGAACAGTGGCTTCTATAGGTTCATTTCTAAATCCAAAACTCTAGCTGCCAGCTTGAACACAAGGTATGCCTTATATTGTGTCATTGAAGAAAGCTTGTAAGTACTGATCCTCCCATTGATTTCAAACCAACAGACGTTGAGAAGCTTTGCACCCTCAGGGAACTTGTTTGTAATTAAGCATGAATTATAGACATTAATCTTCACATATTTATTCATTTTTAGTTGGTGAAGACACTTAAAAACAATCAACTACATGCTTGAATTCTTTTGGTTGGGTGCAAGTGAAACTGTGTCATGCATGCCATTTGTCTGCATTTTCTGTGTGGTGTTTGCATGTGTGTGGGTGTGTGTGTGTGAGCTGGAATCTTGTATGGAGTTCAGAGAGAGAGAGAGAAACCTGGAATCTCACATGGGTTTCCATCTCCAATAACGAGGAGTATCACCCCATGTAATTGCCAGGTCCCTGGCAGCTCGCATGTTACATTTCTTCCCACTCCTTTTGTGCAGTGAAAAGCTCTATGCAATACAGGTTATATGATTAAACACTCAACTGGTTCTGAAAATATTGGCCAAAAAAATACTAGTACTGAAAAAGAATAGTTTAGAAACGATTATTAATCAAACTTCAAAATATCAACAAGGAACACATAAACTCACCATAGAAAGGACATAATCATCATTAATCATTATTACATCACCAACAAGAACATAATCCTCTAGCAAGCATATTCCAAAAAAATGAAGCATTGAAACCTAGGCCATACATCCATGAGGTTTTGTAAAACATACCAATAAAAATCTTTGTTTTTTTTTTTGAACAGCACAGAATATATTTATTAACAACCTGAGTACAAGGGTCCTCAACCCATTAACTTACACAAAATAATAGCCGTCCAATGTTAATTCCCTCTTTTAGACCACTTTTCAATTAATCCCACCCTTGTTACTACACATACATGCTGCAGGATTAATTATCCAATCTGAAAGAGTAAAGTAACACCTAGATTTCTTTGCTTTGATCCATGCAAATGATCTCAGTTGAATAAGTTCCAGCAGCTTTCCCACATTCGCTCCTATGTCCTAGAAGATCTTACGGTTTCTTGCCATCCATACTAACCATATCACAGTATTCCAGATGCACTCCCATCCTTCTGCTATGTGTGGGTCTTTGATCCCTGCCCCAAATTGGTCAAAAGTCTTCCAACAATCTTCATTTATTGTTACTGTGATCCCCCACCACCGGGCGCAAGCTTTCCAAAGCCATCAACTTATTTTGCAATTTAGAAATAGATGGTTGGCATCCTCGTTTTCTTCTTCGCATAATACACATTTTGCCTCTTCCATATCCTTGATGATTCCTCTTCGAAGTAGATTAGCTTTGGTATGGATTCTGTCTAGCATTAATCTCCAGTTGAACGCAGATATCTTGCTCGGGAGCATAGGATTCCATATTCTCTTTGAAATTTTTGCTCCCTTCGATCCCGTCCGTTCTTTTGTCCACATCAGGTAAGCCGTTTTGGTTGAGTAGTGACCATCCTTGCTGTGTATCCATTGCCATTTGTCAGAGCATCCAGGAGTGATCTTCACGTTGTCTAGCATTCCATGAAGTTTCGTAAAAACCTCTTTTTCCCACTCAAACAGGGTTCTTCTCCATGAGAGATTCCATTTCCATGCTCCATTGTGAGTATTGCCCATTTGGTAGCATTCTTTATCCTTCCCTGTTGACAAAAGGTATAATCTAGGGAATGTGTTAGCAAGACATCCCTCCCCACACCACCCATCCCACCAGAAACTCGCTCCTTTACCTTCTCCTATCTTCAACCTAAATCCCTTTGATAACCATCCTGCATTCTCCCGTCTCTAGTATTGAGGTTGCATACATCTCTCCACCATAATGATCCTGTTCCTCTACCCTCTCTTACCCAATCCTTCCAATTACCTCTTCCCTCGCCATATTTTCCTTCAATTACCCTCCTCCACAACCCCTCATCCTGGGCTGCTAGGCGTCCCCACCATTTCCCCAATAAAAATCTTTGTAGTTAGCTGCTTCATATGGACATGAATTTTGGACTATCAACCCAAAAGAAAATTATACCAAGTCATGGCCTCTTAACAAGCCATATATAGCTGCACACACAAAATAAATGTGAAAAGTCCTTAAGAAGTTTGGAAAAAAAAATGTTAAAAGTTCTTAGGATCATTCACAGAAGACAAAGAGCGCGTAGCTCAATTTGCCACACACAGCAATTGATCAGGAAAGAAAGGAAGGCATTAACACTATTTGGTTTTTTTAAGCTTATGATTCATACTAAGCCCAAACAATGAAATCTTACAATATGCATATGTAGAGTGTGCTTATCGAGTCAAGTACCTTGCTGAGTGAAAAACTGAAAAGAGCCAATGATTAACACTACCTAAGATTGTAAGATTTAGGACTGTAACATTCTATTAAGAAAACATGTACTCCCTCTTCTATAGTTTGATTTAGCTATTCTAGTTTGAATTTTGCATAAAGTTTGACTATATCAAATCAGAAAAGTGATCTGTAGTCCATCCTCATACTATAATATTGTAGCAAGGGGCAGAATGCACATTTTATAACTATTGATGAGGGGCAAGTGGTAAAGTCCCCTTACATCAATGGTACAGTCTGCCCAAATTGTAGCCAAATCCTTCTAAACATAAAATCGAAAAACTCTATTGTTTGGGACGGATGGAGTAATTAACTTTTTTTATGGATAATTTTTATTGAGTGTTTTTAATTAAATTAATTTTTTTTTCAATTATGATTTGTTTGTCATATAAAATTATCAAATTAATTTGTAGTATAAAATTAATGAGTTGGGAGAACTAGAAAGAACCAAAAAGAGGAGTAAATCATTTTCCACTGAACACAACATGCCAAACCATAAGATCATATGGGAATACGGAAACGAAAAGATATCAAAAAAGAAGGTGGGAGTCGGCATAAATATATTTACCTTTTTACCATTTTCAATGAGTACAGGATGATCGCAGAGGCTGAGGTAAAGGCCCTTCAAGGAAGAAGCGGGTCGCGATGCGGGAACCAAATTCTGGTAGTCGGATGGCGGGAACTTAACCCAGACGGTTTCGGAACTGGCGACAGAGTTGAAAAAGGGGGAAACTACTGACCAGACCATCTACAGGCATCGAGAGGACTCGTGAAGGAGATGATGGCAGCGAGGCAATCGGCGGGAAGAGCGCGGCAATCCCGCATCTCGGTGTCTATTCGTTGACGGCACGCACTAGTACTCATTCTCAGTTGGAGCCAAATGCGAGGAGATCGGACTTTAATAACGGAAACTTGACCCAAACTTGGCAGTTAAGTCAAGTAATAGTACGGCATACTTGGGGGCAATGTAATGGCATGGTCAAATAAGGAACTAAAATTATGAAATTTTTAATTTAATTTAATTATTAAAAATAATTAATAACTAATAAAATAATTAATATTTACTATTTAACCTATTAAATTTACTGTAACTTATAATCAAAATTTTTTATTATCATAATTAATTATTTAAAAAAAATATAAACTTATAAAACTAGAGTTAGAATTGCTACAAAATATTTGATAATAATAACCTCCACTCACACGGAGGTGTTGTTATGGCTAAGCACACAAATGTTGGATTTTTTATAAATAATTAGTTAAGGTATATAAAAATAGTTAAAATATATTTGGACCTCATATTTTACTCCAAAAAAAGTTATTTTTTTATTATAAAAAACTCCTTTTTAGTCTTTAAATTTTATTATTTAATTTTTTTATTTTTTTACTTATATGACACTGATAAAAATTTTAAAATAAATAAATTAAAATTATGTTTTATTTTAAGTAAAAGAATTAAAATAATTTTTTTAAAAATAAAAGGACTAAAAGATTTTTTTCTAAACTGTTTCCTATAACGTATTCTCCTGCAAAGTAGCTCACCGGGGCTCTCTGAAAAAGTTTCCGATGTTGCGTCTTCGATTATGACACAATTTTGTCGCAGACGACTGTTCATCTGGGCAGTCCAATGGTTGAGGGGGTATGGTGACCAGTGCCTCCTGATCAACTAATCCCTACTTTTGCAACACTGCCTGCAAGCCATCCTCACTACATTTGATTAGAATTTTTGAGATGTGACAGCTTAGCTACTTATGATTCTAAATACTTATCAAGTTTGTGCGTGCGAACAAGTTTGTAATCTAAATGATGGAATTATGTACAGGACTGACGTAGGGAAGTTGTGAATTTGTTTACAGAATAAGATTCTCAGCTCTTGTATTCTTTGGCCATAATTTGTTGTGTTTTGAATCTATATTTCCCATCAATTTTGCTTCAGTATGTGATTTAACTTTGAGTGTTGGGTTGTTTGTTCAGGGTCACAAGAGTTATGTGCCAAATATGATCAATGGAGCAGCTCAAGCAGATCTTGGTGTTCTGGTGAGTTAGGCGCCACTTCACTGCATTTGTTTTGCAGGAGTCCCTTTTTTTGAATTTTTAATTCTTTCTCCTTCTCTGTCTTGTTCTCTGACTGTCATGATTAGGTTATTTCTGCCCGTAAAGGGGAATTTGAAACTGGATATGAGAGGGGTGGGCAAACCCGTGAACATGGTCAGCTTGCACAAACTTTGGGTGTATCTACGCTGTTTGTGGTTGTGAACAAAATGGAGGATCCCATTGTTAAGTGGTCAAAAGAAAGGTGCTGTTCCTGAATTTAGTTAAGGTTATGATCATATATGCCGTTTTATTTCTGTGTTCTTGTTCTGATGGTTCATTCTAAGTGGCATTCTCCCTTAGATATGATGAAATTGAATCTAAGATGATACCATTTCTGAGGTTTTTAGGCTACAATGTGAAAAAGGTAATTGATATATTGCTTGTCAATTTTTTTTCTTTTTTGTTTATAGGAAAATGGTGATTGATTGAATTAAAATTGTGAGTTATTCATATTTTTTCAATAAAAGCAAAGCAATTAATTCTGTATATTGATTGTGTTTTTCGTCTTATTCTGAACCTGTAGATGTCCAGTTCTTACCAATATCTGGTCTTCTTGGTTCCAACATGAAAACGAGACCGGACAGGAGCATATGCCCCTGGTGGAATGGCCCCTGCCTCTTTGAAGTTCTTGATGCAGTTGAAATTTCTCCTAGAGATCAAAAGGTCCTTTTAGATACGATTTATTATTGTAGGAATTCATACAACTCCAGGGAGAAAATATACTTGTATAACTAAACCTTCTCTTCCTTTGTTATAGAAAAGGCTACATGGTTACTTATAAGGACTCTGACTATTTCTTGAGTTCCTATGACTTTGATTCCAAACATAAGTAAATAATTGGCTAGGATTCTTCGAAATTGAAACCTAAAAAATCTAAATCCTAAAGATCCTAGAATGACCAAAATGTACCCAAATTATATTTTAAAAAGAAAACCGAAATCATGGAACTGAAATTATATTAAGTCTGCCCCTGAACATAGAAAAACTTAAGTATAATAAAATAGAACCCTAAATTGCTAAAATCAAAGTTACGCAACATAGATTCTGAATTATCAAGGCTGTATCAATCTTTCATTTCACATCTATTAACTATATGTATTCTAAATATGCAGGATGCCTATAATTGACAAATTTAAAGACATGGGAACTGTCATAATGGGAAAGGTTGAATCTGGTACCATGCGTGAGGGTGATTCCTTATTAGTCATGCCAAACAAGGTGCTTAGTCTTTCCCTTAATTTCTTTATTTTATTTATTCTTAAACCTCGATTCTGATGTCCAAGATGCATGGATGGCAGGCTCAAGTGAAAGTTCTTGCCATTTACTGTGATGAAGATAAGGCTACATGTGCTGGACCTGGTGAGAATCTGTGGGTTAAGTTATCTGGTATTGAAGAAGAGGACATATTATCTGGTTTTGTGTTGTGTAGTGTTGGTAAGTGCTCTTAAAGATTGTAAAAACTGAAGGCTCTCATGTTTGATCCCCTAAAGAGAAAATTAGATTATAGAAAGTGGATTTAAAAAGTAAATGGTAGGATAATTTGCAAATTTGTTTGCAGAAATATTTCTTTTCTTTTGTAGTTTTTGATAGCAATGCTGGGACTATCCTAACAAGTAAAATGTCTCGGCCTCACCATCCCTCTCTATACTTATTTTCTAATTTTGATTGTGAAGTGTTATTTGTGATTTTGTTTAAGTTTTTGCTGAATTATATCTTCTTTTTTTTTTTTTTCCTTTTTACCCTGCAAAACCAATACCAACAATCATTGAATTTACGGCCCGGCTGCAGATCCTTGAGTTGCTTGACAATGCATGATTGAATCCACTTTATGAAGTGCTCTCTCATGTGTAATCTCTTAGTTCATATGATTAACTTTGCATCTAATGGTTTTGGACCGTCTCTGCTATTTTAGGCAATATTCACAGCTGGCTATAAGGCTGTCTTGCATGTTCATTCTGTTGTTGAGGAATGCAAGATTGTTGAGCTGCTACAACAAATTGATCCCAAGACAAAGAAACCCATGTAAAAAAAGGTTCTATTTGTTAAGAATGGTGCTGTTGTTGTTTGCCACATTCAGCTTCACTCTTTGCCTTTTCACTCTTTTGGAAATTCCAAAGTGTTTATTCTCTGACACTTGGAATTATCTAGAATTATGAATGTTTTCCATTCAGCACGGTATCATCCTCCTGCTTGATAATTGTGGGACTGCTATAATTTCTATTTATATAAAAGCTGTAGCATTGCTCTGTTATTTATGCACCTTCCAAGCTTTCAAAGGTCTGAAGTGGTCGGAATCTCCCACCAATATTACATTTTGTCAAATGGTTTTCACTGGTAGTTTATTTTTAACAGGGAAAGAAGTCTTGCTTTGAAGAAGAGACTAGCCCAATTATATTTGAAACATTTCTCTCTGTTTGAAATTTGGTTCATGAATTATATCTTTGTGGCAATATTGTCTCAGGTGAACAACTTGATTTGTGTTGAGAGATTCTCAGATTATGCACAACTTGGAAAGTTTACTCTTTGAACTGAAGGTAAGTGACTGCATTTTCATTATTCATGAATTACCCTAGGCGTGCCGTGTGTAATTTGGATTACTGTGTCTACAGGAAAAACAGTTGCAGTGGGAAGAGTCATGGACATTCCTTCAAGTGCCAGTGCATAAAAAAGTTTTGTTGTTAGGGGTGAGAAATTAAATTTGTAGTTCATTTTGAAAAATACAATCGCTAATGGGTTTTAGTGATTCTCACTAAATCAAAGGTTTTAGTGACTAGATTAAGGCGTAGAGATCAATAGTAAAGGGAAATTCATGTGTTTCATGTGTTGTCCAGTCGGTAATTTTGGCAAAATTCGGGCTGGTTCGTTGCTTTAATAATTGTACCGAGAGACATGGGTTGGAACTAAAAGGTCAGCGTGTTTTCCCCCTTTTTTTTTTAAACAGCTACAAATTGGATTAGGGAATGGGAAATTGTAGCATGATAGACAGGACTCGAACTTGATTAGTGATAAGATATTAGATGTTTCTACCAAACTGTATATGTATGTTTTGAAGAAAATAAGTTCCGGATTTTAGGAAGCAGATTATCTGTTGACTTAAAGATTTTTCGCTGACTATGATTTTTTGTGTGTTAAACAGTAAAAAGTGAGAAAAATATTTTTTAGAAATTATTTTTTGTAAACTAAAGGGATCTTTAATTTCTGACAAAATTTGAGTAAAAAATTAAATTTTTTATTAGACAGACTACTCGATATTTCATAAATACTCCTATCTCGCAAAGAACATTAAGTTTGAACATAATGAACATTTTAATAATTTAATTCATTTTCTTATTTTTGTTGAATCTATTTTTCATTTCTATTAACTTCCGTCGCAACTTCGTCATATGAAATTAAAATTGTAAATTGAAAGAAAATTTTTTAAGTAAAAAATTCTATTCACGAACTGCTAAAAGAGTTTCATAAATTTATTTTAATAAAATAATTTTTCCCCAAATACAATTCTTAGAATTAAAAATAAATAAATTTTAAATGCATTCTTTTTCAATATAATTAAAACTACAAATGAAATTCATTTATACTGATGATTAAATCACATCGCAGTTAGTAACTTTACTAATAGAACTGACATCTTTATAAAACCAGTGCATTGCAATCGCTAATTTTCTCTTACATAAAATAAAATACATGGAAGAAAAAAACAACAAAACTTTGTTTTGTCCTACTAACATGGCCTGATATCGATGCCTTGAACATAGAGACCGCCCACAGAGTAACCATCATGCGAGAAAATATGTATTTCCAATTCTTCAAGTCCTCCTCCATTGAAGAATTCACCCAACTCTACCTCCAACCAACCATCTCCCCTCACTTTTGGGTGCTGATTACCATTTTGTACTACATCTCCACTATCCATAACATATACAATTCGCTTTGAAACTTGAGTTCCACCAAGTCGAAGAGTAGCTTCTATGGGTTTATTCTCAAATCCTTCGGCATTGGCTACCAGTTTGAACACTAGGAAAGCATTATAACGTGTCATCAGGGAAAGATTGCAACTATCAATCCTCCCAGTGATTTCGAACCAATAGACATCAAGAAGCTCCGCAACCTCAGGAAATCTGTTTGAAAATTGTAAGCATGAATGATAAATAATATTATCACATGTTGGCTTGCTTGAATAATTTTGGCTCTAAATGACTAAATATATGTATGCGTTTTGTGTAATGCATGTTTTTGGTTGTGTTTCCTGTGTGGTTGAGAGAGATACCTTGAATCGGGTATGGAGATCCACCTCCAATAATGAGGAGTATCACCCCATGCAATTGCGAGGTTCCTGGAAGCTAGCATGTAACATTTTTTCCCATTCCTTTTGTCCAGGGAAAAGCTCTGTGCAATGTATGTGATATGATTTAAGACTCAAATTGCAAAAATAATAGAATGAAAAAGAATAGTGATCAGCTTCAATTCAAGATGTCTACCAATTAAACAATGAACAAAAGGATGACATAAACTTACCGTAGAAGGGACATAAAAATTATTAATCATTATATTAACAACAAGAACATAATCTTCTTTCAAAGCATAGTCCATAAGAATTAAGAAACATAGGCAACAATCATTATGTTCTGTAAATTACCTAAAAAGAACTCAGCTCTTTTTATTTAATTAGTCCATATTTTTTATCATCTTGATTCAGGGTAATGCTATAATGCCAGGGAGCTAACTCTCTAAATACCAATAAAATACACCAACCACGGCATTGTACAATTGTGATGCATAATTATATAATTGACTACTTTGATTCAGGATACAGTATGGATCCACTCGTCTAATATATACATTAAGCTTACAATCCTACATGTTATTGTATAGTATTAATACATTAGTTTTACTTTAATCCAAACACAGCAATTGAAAGGAAGTTGACCAACAAGAGGGCAAAGAAAGAAAGAGGCAGAACCAGAAATTTTTTTAGCGGCCATATGCAAACACAACGTTGGTACCTCGCAATTTCAACAAATCAAAATCAGGAAAAAAAAAATTCATTTGAGGAATAACATAAGTTAAAAGAAAACACAACAATCAGAGAGCAGGTTGGGACTTGGTATGTTTCTACACCTTTTTGCCATCTTCAATGAGGACAGGATGATCGCAGAGGCTGAGATAAAGGGACTTCAATGAAGAAGAGGATGGCGATGCAGGAACCAAATTCTGGTAGTCGGCCGGCAGGAACTTATCCCAAAGGACGTCGGAACCGGCGGCAGAGTTGAACGATTTGGAAACTAGCGACGATCTACAGGCATCGAGTGGACTGGTTAAGGAGATGATAAGGGCGAGACAATCGTTCGAAAGATCGTCTAAATTCGGCGTTCCGGAACTCATTTGTTGACTTCTTCGATCGCCAAATCAAAATGCCAGGAAGAAGAGTAGAAGGAGATGGGAAACACCAATTTAGGAATTTAATCCCAGAGCTACTCAAAATTGGGAAAAGGTTTAATGTACCTAGTTGGTCCTTTCACTTATCAATTTTATCTCATTTTGGTCCCTCAGCTTTTTTGGCAAGAAATGTTCCTTAAATTTAATTTTCTGACCCCTAAAGCAAGTAGTCCTTTGGTTAAAGGAATACTTGTGTGACCCATTTCTTATTTTGATTGGCAAAGAGAAAATTATATTGATAAAAGAGTATAACAAGAACTCTGTCTCATACAATAGACTTAACTTCATTAGGTAAAGAAAATTAAGTAATGAAGTTTAATATAACTATATAAGTAAAAGGGATTCGAGAAAATTACGATATCCTAATACATAAAATGCTAAAAATATTAAAAAATTCTTAATGAATCAATATGTTAAAAAAATATATTAATGGTATTTAAACAATTTTACAAAAGGTCTTAACATTTAACATGATAGAATATCTTAATTTTCGTTTTTCTTTAACTAAGATTCAGTGAAAAAAATGTAAGTAGTACAAATTAAACATATGGAGGAAGTCCATCCCTAGAAAACTCCATGCAAAGGAGAAGATTGCCTAAAAATTTGGGTGGGCACCAGTGGGATAGAGTACCTAACCTGGGAAAAATTAGAAAATGATTTAGAAATAACTTTTTATAATTTTACATGTTATTTAATCATTAATATTTTTATTTAATCAAAATTTGTGATATTATATATATTTATTAATTTAATGATATGTAAAAATTGTATAAAAAAGATAGTATAAAAAAATTCTCTCTGTATCATTAACCGAAAAAATTTTTGGTTGCCAACAATTTTTGGCAATGATTTTTCTTTAGGAATACCAGGTCAAAATGTTTTTTTGATAATTAGTTATTTGCTAAAATTTTTTGGCAATAAAATTTTCTACTATTACCATACAAATACCTACTAAATTCATTCGATACAATTTTTTTTTCATTCGCAAATTTAAAGTATTTTGTATCTTCTAGAAAAAAAAAATTTTTGCAATAGAAATATTCTCTAAAACTAATAGGATATACATTAATTGAAATAACTTTAGATTTAGGGTTTTTAACTT